TTTTGAAAAATGAGCACGAAGATTCCAAAAAAAATCCAGAAGAAAAAAACAAACAAATTGGGAAAAAATCAGATCGAGATTATCGGGAAAACGCCATCGCCATCGTTAAACAAGCTTTTTTCTTCATCTTCAGCTCACACATCCTCCTCATACAGTAGAGAGCCCAAAAAAATCACAAGGCAGGGGAAAAGAACTGGCAACAATAACGGCTAGCAGCAAAAGGCGCATTCTAGAGAGAGAAAGATGAGCGAGAATAATGCACGCACGGACTCCATTTTTCAGAGAGAGAGAGAGAAAGAGAGAGAGAGAGCACGGAGAACAAGGCAGGCGAACATTTATGACGACACTGTGTGTTTGTGTTTTTACTCTGTGTGTGAAGTAAAAGAGTGTATTTTGAATGGGAGTTTGAAATTAAAAAAAAAAAAAAAGGGCCCGGTATTTGGAATAGTCTCACATTGGGGGGCATGGATTTGTGCGTGAAAAATTAGAGATTTAGTCCTCCGATTAATAGCAAATTAAAAAATAGTCTGGTTACTGCATTGGTTTTACATAACACCCTCTAATTGCGAAAAGAAAACAAAATGACGATAAACTTGATTGGTTGTTGAGTTCAATATGTTAGTCAGCTGCAGCGAGTATGAAAATAAAAAAATAATATCCACGTCAGCAACAAATCACAGAGACCGACTTTTGCGGCTAGAAGGACCAAAAGCCAGATTTTTTTTTTTGTGTGTGTTTATCCTGAAGTGAAGGTTTCAGGTTCTTTCCTCTTAGCCTACGGATTGCGTGCAATCGTTGAGATCTCAAACCCTCGGTGGAGGACTCTCCAACCTATGAAGGCCACTCGGGCTTTTAGTAGTCAAAGATGCCAAAAAAACCGCCACAAAATTGATTTTCGTATAGCTTTGCAAAGTCACCAAACTATTTCTCAATTAGGTGTCGGCTATAGAACTAAATCTTCAATTTTTGTGATGAGAGCACGTAGTTGACCATGCTACCTTCTAAATGACACGAGTCAATTCTACTAATTAATATTCTTGCTCGGCTTGTAGACAAGTTGAATTAAACATCGAATTCGACTGTTTTTAATATTGATAAACTAGTCGAACTTGACCTTGCTTAACAAGCCAACTTCTACTTCACTCGATAATTAAAGACTTGGGCCCACGTTCGATTATTAGGAACTCGAGTTCAGCTGATCAGCTCGTATATTCCGTTGGGGGCAACCGGTAAATTAGAGAGAGTAGATGGGACCCACGATGACACGTGGAGATAAGAAGGCGTGCCACGCAATAAATGGCTCGTGATCTTATGGCAAAAAAGACAGGTTAATTAGGTGGGGAGAATTTAAAATGGGGATTATTATGCATTTATACTAATCTGAAATCTTTTCACATGTATTATGCTTTTTTTAGCAAGAACTAAGAATTGTTAAACAAATTAGCAGTTAATTTAAGCTTATTTAGTTAACTAGTTGTGACTTAAACATATAATTTTTTATGGTTCGACTCGTTAAAACTTATACGTTAAAATTCAAGTTCATTTATCGACTCGTTTATTTAATTAAGCTAATCTCAACTTATTCATAATCCCTAGCCAGGACCATTTGTAATTACGTTAATCTGTGGGTGTAAGTCATGTTATATTCTTTAGTAGGCAATTTATGTTATTAATGTTGGCGTCAAGATGGAAAATAAAATTTATGTGCAACTAATCCAGACAAAAAGAAAATCTTTTAAAAAATTTATGTTATTACGTTAATTTATTTTACTTGTCTAACAAAAAGAAAATCTTTTAAAAAATATTTATGTTGATCCAACCATAACAAATTAATATTTTAACAGTATATTACATTATTTTAAACAGTATATTACATTAAATAAAAATGGAATAAACAATGGAATGAGCATTTATTATATTGTTGAGTTAGATTATGGAAAACAAGCAAAGGTGGACAAATGTTGGCATCATTGAGTAATTATAGATATATGTGTGGCCATGCAGAGGTACCAAACATGATGTCAGGATCTTGTTCCTATCTGCCTCTCAACATTTTGTATATGGACAAACGTGGCTGAATTGACTTGGCACACGTATCTTTTTTTACGGAGATATCACGGTTTTGTTACGGAATTATTTCGTCGAGAATTTTAACTGTTTGATTATCATGTAGTTAGCATAGAATTGATGATTCGACGATTAAGCTCTCGACGAAATGGTTCCGTAACGAGACTGTATCATTTTCTTCTTTTATAAATTGCAAATGGTTCTATTTCTATGTATTTCATTTAATTTTATCTTTTTGTATAAATATTTTATTACACATTTATAAATAGATAATTATATAGTATAAGATATAACATATTCTATACCAATTATTTCTAAGGCTACGATTCCTCTTTCATTAACCGAACCCATATGTACTGTTTTGAGGTCAACCCTACACTTATAATTCATAGTTGGAATATTTACAAAAATGAAATAGATGTTATTTAAAAAAAAAAAAAAAAAAAAAAAAAAAAAAAAAAAAAAAAACAGACAAGTTTGATATTGTATATTTTATTTTAGATATAATTTGTAATTAGTTCATGTGGTGCAATATATTTCAACAGTAACTGGTACAAAATTATATTTTGTCAATTTAAATATTTCAACCTAAATATATTTGAATTTAAAATTAATTAAATAAAACCATTTGAGTACAAATTACCAACAAGAACAGGAGATAAGTTTTGAAGAGATATGAAAAGTCACAATTATGTTGTGTTCATTATGATATAAATCAGATACGATAAATTATAAATATGAAAAGACTATAATCCCGTCACGGAATGGTTCCGTGATAGATTTTAGCCATAGATTATCTAAAATAACTAACTCACATGTATATATAAAGGCTAAAATCTTTCACGAAATCATTCCATGACGGGATTGTAGTATTTTTCCGATATATATTATAATTGAAGTCCCCATTTAAAGTTTAATTGCTGATTAAATTGTAAAAATGATAGGTAAAGCCATGTATTAGTTTACTTTTTAATAAATAAATAATATTATAAATTTAAATTAAAATAGCATTGAAAATAATTATAATCGTTTATAAATTCTACATCTTTTTTACATTTTTATTTATATTTTACAGTATTTTTTATTTGTATATATACAATGATTTTTTAAAAAAAAAATATGAGGGGGTGTCCACCTCATTTAGTTCCGTCCCTGATTATATTTATTGTGATTTTATCATTCTAAGAAGGTAAAATACTAATAATAATAATAATAATAATAATAATAATAATAATAATAATAATAATAATAATAATAATAATAATAATAATAATAATAATAATAATAATAATAGGTCGATTTATTACGAGAAAAAGCGCCACTCGTGTGTTACTTCTTTATCATATATATATCAACAAAACATTTTGAATTAGAAATCATATTCATATAAATCTTAAAAGCATCCCCCAAAATTAAATAATATTTCATTTATATATCAATTAATTAATTAATTAATTAAGCATAATGTGGCATAGGCTAGATTGTAGAGCTAAAGCAATAGTCAATAAGTGATATCATAAAATCTATATATATTAAAAGCATCCCCCAAAAAGAAAAAATTTCTTTTTCCCTCCAAAACTACATTTATTACACTGAAATAAATTTTGATAACTTCTATGTAATACAACCATCAACTTAATTTGTTTTTACAAAAACAAAAAAAAAACACTTAATTATGTATATATATATTTATTTATTTATTAAATAATTACTCTTATATCCCCAAAGCTTCATTTACTATACTTTTTTTTTTAACTTTTATGTAACTCAACCATAAACATAATTAATTTTTATAAATAAATATATAATTATAAATGTATTCAAAATTTATAATTTATAAACATTATATTCAATTAAACATTTATTGTGCAATTAAAATTGATGTGAATTTGTGTTCAAAAGTAATAAATTATAAAAAAAAAACTATCAGAAGCTATTCATCAATTTACATGTATGTTGGAGTAAAAATTGTCTGCTATAATTGTCTTTCCTTTATCAATGAAATTTTATTTAAATAATTCAATATTTTTACAGCGAAAATCTCAATGCATATTTCAAGAAGTTTAATTAGCTTCTGTTTATAAATAATTTTCAGTCCAAATAGCTAGATATATTATTGACTTAATGACTAATAATGATATTGAAGAATTTTTCTCTTAATTCCACAAAAAAAAACTAAAAACACAATTTTAAAGTATAAAAGATAAAATTCTCGCAACATATTTTTTTTTTTTTTGTTCTACAATTATCCTTGACGTTTTCCAATTCAAGACTACTATTTAAATTCCAACGATGATATTTTTTATTATGTTGTCTTAGGCAATGTGAGTTGATCAAAAGTCAACTATTGTTGTTATATGTGATATTGTTGCTGAAAAAATATGCACTTAGTCATAATAGTAGCATATTGTTGTTTCTAGAGTTATAAACGAAAGATTAATATTTTCATTGACAATAGTGATCATAATAAACTCAATTTGCCTACAACTAATGTTATATATATAATTATTCAAATGCTTAATAAGTGACATTATTTTAAATAAATTGTCATTTGTTTAAATTATAATTCATCAATATATTTAACATAATGCCGCGCAACGCGCGGGTGCCGTACTAGTACTATCAATGAAATATCATACAATTAATAAGTTTGCTCGTTAAGATTGATCTGTTTATGTGAAGAGATTTGACTTTGAGTGCCATAATAGTGAAGGCTCTCAAAGTAGGTTAAAAAAACGTCTTAATTAAAGTAATAATAATGTTATTAATTAGGTCCTAATCCACCCAAAATTACTTTTTTAATGGGCATATTAGACCCATTATTACGGTCAAAAAAACAACACCTAAGCCGATTATCAAGGTGTGTTACTACTGTCCAACGGCTTTGTGGGCTAGTGAAATCACAACATGGAATAAAATAGGAAGGCTATCGCCTATCGTTAGACCGACGATTATATTTTATTTCTAATTAAGGTGTGTTACTGTCCAACGACGAGTTATATTTTGTAAATATAACTGAAAAGTCAGCTCATAACTGATAGTTTATTTGTCAATAAAGAGCTTATAACTGAAAAGTTTGATATTATCTCATAAGCTTGTTTAATGATCATTTCAAAAAAAAATCCCGTTGAATTTCAATTTAGTTGATTTATTAACTAATTTTACTGCCAAAATAAAACAAAAAATAACAGTGGCTTGGTCAGTAAATGACAAAATACAAAAAAACAAAAATAAAAAATAAAATAACAGTGGCTCAGTGAATGACATTAAATTGGTCACATTGACCAAGATATATTGTGTAAAATCTTATTCGTCACATATATAAAAATGGAAATATTTTCTCGGCCAAAAGTTCCAATTCGGGCCTCTACTGCTTGAATTATTATGGAAAGGGTATTATATAGCCTGTCACAAACATAAATTATATATATATATAATTTAAAAATAAATTATTATTTAATTAATTAAAAAAGTATATAGGCCTGCCAATTAGATTCTCCCACTAAAAATCAGGCGATAAATCAGCTTGGCATCACTAAAAGCCAAGTAGAATAGTAGATGACTCTTGTATAAGTAAGGAAAATGTTACGATCCCGTTAAGGTACTATATCGTCGGGTGTTTTTTTTTTTTTGGTACAATAAAGGAGTCTAACGGGTCTAAGGAAGGACTAGTCGGGGGTGCGACACGCCTATATTATCATGATTAAGCCAAGCACCAAGACCTTTGGGAGGAGACTCAAGGTGATGTAGACCGACCGGGTAGGATGTCGCCAAACTGGCCAGGTGATCAGCGGCAAAATTTGCTTCTCTATAAATATGGTGTACACGAACACTCCAATCCCTATTAATCAGATCACGAATCGCACGAACTAATCCATCATGGGACCCTTCCACACTCTCGGTACCATTAACCAACTTCGTCACGCAGAGACTATCAACCTCCGCCATCACTTTGCGATAGCCCTTCTCCCAAGCCAACCACAGGCCCTGAAATAAGCCCCATAACTCCGCACTCGTAATTGTGCAGGAACCAATATTAAAAAGAAAGCCCGTGAGCCAACGCCCATCCTCATCGCGAATTAACCCTCCCGCGCTACTCATGCCACTATTAAAATTGACGGCTCCGTCTGAATTTAATTTCACCCAGCCCACTTCCGGTCGAGACCAACAAATGTGACGGGTGACGTGCACCACCGCTCCAGCCCTTCTATCGTCGAGTGTTTTAACCATTGAATTATCTATCTTATCTAACTACACGTGGATCCAACAATTAAAACACTCGACGGGATTGTACCGTAACGAGACCTTAGCCTGCCAATTGGATTCCCCCACTCAAAATCAGGCGATAAATCAGCTTCGTATCACTAAAAGCCAAGTAGATGACTGAGAGTATCTACTTTAATGGTAAATTATTGTTTTCTACAAATAAAATGTTAAATAATTATCCACTTCGAATATATTTTTATTAAATCTAGCAGAATCATAACATTATATATATTAATAATGAGAACCAAGATGTTACGATAATTTATATCATTCGCAGAATCTTTTAAGAATTTTTTTTATTTAGATATAGTTGAAATAGAAATGTAAAACTACGAATAATTATAAATAAAAATCTAGCATAAAATGACATGTGAAACTAATCGGATGGAGAACCTTATTATACCATATAATTGGATTCACCTACCATAATGTTATAGTTAATTTAATTTAATATTAACTTATGTGCAGCTGAAATTTTCAAGCATCAGTATTGATTATTTCTAACATCAGATATCACTAAATTTCATTAAAAATATTGCATTAATTTTTTGTTATGTATTATTTAATTTTGATTACTTTTTTACAAGAATATTCATTCTATTGTTTTCATATTTTAGTTTTTCTCAATTTCTCAATTGTTCATATTTTACAACCAATAATAATTCTAGAAAATAAATTATTCGAATTTAATTAGTAAAAAGTTTATTTAAAATGGGTATTTTTTTTTATTTTATTATTATTATTATTTTTTTTGTATAGCAAAAGTAAAAGCGTGGGTAGAGCTCAACTGTCAACCAAATTCAAATTGAACATTTTTATTGCCTTAATAGTCAAACAAAATTCAAATAAAACATCAAACCAAGTAGAAATTAATAAGATTGATTTACTTTTTGTAGCGATAATTTGACTTTAGCCCCATTTGAGATTGTATTCTGTCACCTTTTTTTTTTTCCTTTGAAAAAGTTTGAGATTCAAAATAAAACGTATTTTACAATGTAAAAAGTCATGCAAAGAACATTAGAGGCCCATAACCCAAAGCCGAAGTAAAAAGAGCCCAAAAAGGTTAAAGCCTGTCCAATCAGTAACAATCAGAAAGGCCCAAACTACAAAAAAGGTGAAAATGATGAGAAGAAAAGAACCTTGCATTCCGGAATTTGCCATGTCTTTTCTCAGACAATACATCACATGATTAAACTACAAATATAGTATTTAATTTTTTTTTTTGACCCATACCGCCCCACGAAAGCCCACAGCCCGCATTGGCTGGCCCATTTAGTCCCACTCTATGGACGTTAAACAAAAAGTCGGGCCCACCCATTTGGTGGGGGTAGGAGCAGGAGACCCGGGCCTAAGCCCGTTTTGACAGCTCTAAAAATCAAACCTTCTGATGTTTAGATGTGCCTAGGCCAGTAACGAGACGAGCCGAGCTCGAGATTAGGATGTTCAAGCTCAAGCTCGGTTCGTTAAATAAACAAGTCTGAAATTGAGCTCGACCTCAACTCGTTTATCACAAATAAAGAGCCAAATTCGAGCTTTAATGAGTCGATCTCGAGCTTTAACGAGCCAAACTATAGAGAATTATATGAAAATTCTCTTTTCGAGCCTCTCGGCTAGTTCGCCAAACCAGCTTTCAAGGAGCTCGAGCTCGACTCATTTGATAACGAGCCGAGCCAAACTCGAGCCTCAACGAACCGAGCTCCAGTCGAGCCAGGCTCGTTTAATTTAACAACACTAGATACGCTAACGTGTAATTAAAGGGAACACAGACAATGACAATGAAAAGGAGAAAAATCCATTCGAATCGAATCCGATTTTAGAGAGAACAATGGTTATAGTTTTCCTCCTTCTATTACCCTTTTAGGTGGGGTAAATTCTTTTAAGTTACTGATACTATATTTGAGGTGTTTGTAATAAAATCTTTCAACTTAAACATAATAATGCAGCTACATTTGCAGGCAAATCTATCAACCATGATAGTCTTTTGCCAATTCATGCCACAATTTCGAGATAATATACGATGCAACTCTGTAACTGTATTTTTGCCAATTTATACAATCCTTTCAAGAAAACACATGATACAATTCAGTATGCTTTCTAAATTGAAAGCATTAATGGGATGTGTAGGTGTTTAACAACATTGAGACAGAAAATCCTTTCCAAGTAAATTTCATACTCACTCACCTTGACTGCAACTTAGTTCGACTCAGATTGGATAAAATGTTTCTATAATTTCACTCATTATTACAGTACACATTTATATTACGTAAGACGAAAACGCGATAAGTAGCACCAAATAAATCAAGTACTAATAAGAGTCCATATCAAGCGCCTAATCATCTTACGGCAGAAGCATTTCAATTTCAAGTGACCTTCAAAATTGAACCAAATCAGACCATGAAAGTAAAACACACACATATAAAAAAGATGATAGGAAGAACTCTTTCCAGCAATCCTAAATGAACCTACTCAGCATGTCCAATTGAGACAAATTACCGATCGAAAAATACCGAGCAACATTACACAACAGCTACCCGAATTCATATAATTAATCAACAACCCTTTTCTTTAATATCTTAACCAGTCATAATTCCCTTCACTCAATGGATCACACATTCATAATACCCAATGATACTCAAAACAACGTAATCCAATTACCACTCCATTGCACCAACTATTTACTACACTGCGTTAAACAACAAACAAGAAACTAAAGTAACAACGAAGAATCGAAACACTTCACGTACCCCCAAAAGGCCAAACTTTCTTCGTCTGCAACCAGAAAAATTCTTGATTTTGGCGATAGTCTTTTTGTTCATGCTCTCTCATTCTCAGCCGCCTGTGCGATAATCTTAGTCGCATTCATATTATCATCAAAATAGCTTGCATAAGGGTGTCCCTTGGGGACCAATCTCCTATACTTCTCGAAATTCTTCTCAGCCTCGACGTTTTTCCTCATCAATGTGTAAATTATGCCCTGGCACAAATACGGCCTGAAATCCCTCGGCTCCTCCTTCACCAAGTCCTGATAAACCTTCAGTGCCTCCTCATACTTGCTCTCGATCACCTTAATTTGCGCAAGCAAAAGCTTAAAATCCCTCAAGTTACTGTCTTTCTTTTCCTTCATGCCCGATTTCATGGCCTCCTCGACCCTCCTCTCGATATCTTTCAGCTCGTGGCCCGATGACTCCTCCTGGGAAGCCACTGTCACGAGCCCAAGAAAGGCCTCCACGAGATAAGGGTCTTTATTGAGGAGCTCATTGAACCCGTTTTTCGCCAGCTGGAGCTCTCCATCTTGGGCGTGCAGGTGGGCCTTCAGCAAGGGCCACTCGGTATCGTCAGGCTCGAGCTCTATTAGCCTATCGATAGTCTCGATGGCTTCCCGAATCTTCCTGCCCTTGATCTTGATCTCCACCAGGTTCTTGAGCTGGTCGGCGTCGTTGGGGTTGGAGAGGAGGCTCTCCTCGATTAGCTTCTCCCTTTCCTCGTCCTTAAAAAGGAAATCCCTCTCGGAGGTCCCGGCGGCCGGCAAGACCGACTCGGCGACGGAAGGCTTTGTGCGGAGACAGAGGCCGGCAAATACGAGTGCCGCGGCGGCGACGGCGGTTGCGAGAGTGGATCTGAGGGGGGCGATTCCATCCGTGAATCGACGATTGAAGGGGTTTGGGGACCGACTGTCGGGAGCGTCGGGGTAAGGGTTTTGCAGGGAGGCTCTGACGGGAGAGGAGATGGAGAATTGGGGGCGGGCCGGCAGCGGGAATCTCAGGGAAAGGGGAGACGAGGGCTTGGAGAAAAACGGACGGTGGGGATTGAGGAGTGGGACGGCCTGCGGGTGGCGGAGGAGGGTGGGCTTGACGGCGGAGGAATTCAGGGCATTCATGGCGCAAGGGTTTAGAGTTCTTTTTTTTTTTTTTTNNNNGGTGAGCTCTAAAACCCCCACATCTAAGCGATAGAATATACGAACAAAAAAGACAGAGAAAGTGAGAGTCGAATATTAATACAATTTGGGCTTTACGAATGTGGGCCGGTAATAAGTACTTGCCGTGGACTTGGAAACCCCCTATTTGCCAATAGAAATGTTGGCCTACTTCGACCCAGATCTATTGTATAACCCCTTTAGTATATTAATGGAACATGATAGCAATTAGCACATTCATACCTCCCCTAAAAAACTAGAACTTTAAAGAAAAATTGAAAGAGCGGTATTTTTTAGTCCGAAGAGTTTTCAAAAGAAAAATAAAAGCACTTTTAAAACCAATATTATTTCGATTAGGAAGATTATTTCGATTAATGGACTGAAGCTAGTAGATATGGGCCTAATATTTGAATTCGGACAATGGGACATATATTCTTGAGCCCATCATGGCTCGACAGTGGGAATCTTTTTTTTTTTTGGCTAGTAGATATGGGCCTAATATTTGAATTCGGACAATGGGACATATATTCTTGAGCCCATCATGGCTCGAGGAATCTTTTTTTTTTTGGGGAAATTATCAGTTATCCTATATGAAAGTAAAAATATTACACATATACCATCCAAATGTAAATAATTGTGTATGTACCTAACAATGAAGTAATGCAAAAATTCTGTTACTTTGTGCCGTGATTCCCGCATGCGTGAGTTCTATGTCTTCCAACTAAATTTCTAACTAATTAAGTTCCCTTGTGTAATCAAATTCCTCTCTTTTTATATTTTTTGTTTTATCTTTCATAATTAATTTAATGAGTTTTGTTTTATCTTTCATAATTCATTAAATGAGTTTTTCCGTTTTTTAATGGTATATGTACATTTTTTTAATGGTATATATATAGTTTATATTGATCTTTTTTTTTTTAAATATTGCTCTTTTGAGAATATACCGAAAATTTACTGAAAATATTCTAACTATAAACTATGAATAACCATACAAATAAAATGCTTCATCCTTAATTATCTTGTATATTCCATTACAAATACCAAAAAAAAAAGAAAAAAAAAAAATTGTAATTCACGCAGGTGTCCAGGTATGAGTATATGTTGAGTTTATGTTAGTATATATTCAGTATATGTTCAATATATATACATAAAATATACCATCAAAAAATGTTGGAGTATGTGTTGTATATATTTCAGTGATTATAGTAGATATAAAATATAATCATGGTATATATAATGAATATATAAAATATAATGTCGGTATATATATACTTACAATACAAACCGTAATAATGATATATATATTTTATATATTTTCCATGACTTTACTAATATAAACCATTCATATACCGAAGATATACTGAATATAAACCATAAATATAACAGAGGGAATGATACAAACACGATACAATATGAGGGGATAAAAATATACCGAAAATATACTAAATATAAACCATACAAAATTGTAAAGTTCCAATTATGAGGAGATGAATTGTAGAAGAAGAAGGAGATGAGATGTAGATTTGGTCGGTTTTTCGGGTATACGGGATGGGACTTTGGGTGGACGATAATGGCCAAAGTGTCCAAATATAGAAAACAGAACCTTGACTAGTTCAAAATACAATCCTAGAATTTTACAATTAAGATACTCATTTCACCATTTAAATATAGCTTTGTACAAGAATTAAAGGTTGAAATAATATTTAATTAGCAGACCAAATAAATCAAGGGCACCATATGATACTTCAAGAGATGACCCTTGTGCACACACAAACGCAGCTAATTGTTCCTTTTCAAAGATTTATATAATTAGATTTTCTGATGAACACAAATATTCCTCAAAAAAGGGAATAAAAAATTCATACCGAAAAATGATTCACACAAAGTTATACTCAAATTTTAGGGTTGTTACAATGAATTGAAATCTGTAAATTCGATGCCCTACAAAAAGAAAAATAAAAAAAAAAAAACTAA